AAACAGTAAGTATTAAAAAACCATTTTTCTCCATTCACTCCTATCAAACACGCTCACACATGCCCCTGGAAGCCAAGCCCCCCACACACAAAAAACCCCTTTAACCCCCCCCCCTCCAACCTTTCCCCAGGCGACCCCTCCCCCCCCTTTCCCTTTCCCTTTCAGATGATACACTCTTGAAATCTTCTGTTTCCTCCATTTCTCTACATTCCCCAACCACCTCAAAAACCCTTCTTACCCTCTGGACATCAGTTTTTGGAAACCTGCACCTCCTAACTTCCAAAAACGAATTCTCTGCATTATATTCACACCACACATTGCCCTCAGACAACATCTCCACGCCCCCAGCCTTCTCCTCGTGCAAAAATTTTCACCATGTTCACACCCATATAAGGTGTTGGTAAAAAATTACTCCATAATTCCCCCTTTTCCTCCCAAAACAAAATTCTTTGTCTCCCCGATCCTAATGCACCATTCACCCTTTTCCTCACAATTTTAGATTCACCCTCATCTTTCATGACCCATCTGCTGACACTCCACTCCCAAAAAAAGAATACATTACCTTCCAATCTCTCCCCAAACTGATACCAATCTTTACACCTAACTTTTTGTTATCCTCATAACCCTATCTTTTTGTATTCACTTTTAATTTTTTTCTTTTTCAACCCACCAATTCATCCACCACCTCTGCAATTTTCCCAAACTCCCAAAAGCACTGTCCACAAAAGCAACTTGCCCCCACTTTATGTGATTCTTTTTTTTTAAATCCCAAATTTCCAAAACACGCCTTACTTCTTTACACCCCATCTATAAAAATATTTAAAAAACCCGGTGATATCACACATCCCTTTTCTAAGGCCCACTTTTACTGGGGAAAAAACTCCCCCTTTCCCACATAAACTAACTTTCCTCACTATCCTCGAAAAAAATCTTCACTGCTTTTTAGTAACCTACCTTATACCATAAAAACCCCCAACATCTGCCACTTGGGCCCCCCATTCCACCCTTCATACGCTTTTTAAACCATAAATGCCACAAAAAACTTCTTTAGCCTTTCTAAATACTGTTCACTTTTTTGTTTCACGTAAACACCCGGTCCACCACCCCCCACCTTTCCTAAAGCCTCCTTGTTCTTGCTATCCTATTCTCCGTCTTACTCTTAATTCTTTCAATAATAACTCTACCATACACTTTACCAGGTATACTTAACAGACTTATCCCCCTATAATTTTTGCACTTTCTTTTGTCCCCTTTGCCTTTATACAAAGGAACTCTGCATGCTCTCTGCCAATCTCTAGGTACCTTACCCTCTTCCATACATTTATTAAATAATAGCACCAACCACTCCAAAACTATATCCCTACCTGCTTTTAACATTTCTATCTTTATCCCATCAATACCAGCTGCCTTACCCCCTTTCATTTTACCTACTGCCTCATGAACTTCCCCCACACTCACAACTGACTCTTCCTCACTCCCACAAGATGCTATTCCTCCTTGCCCTATACATGAAATCACAGCTTCCCTATCTTCATCAACATTTAACAATTCCTCAAAATATTCCCTCCATCTTCCCAACACCTCTAACTCTCCATTTAATAACTCTCCTCTCCTATTTTTAACTGACAAATCCATTTGTTCTCTAGGCTTCCTCAACTTGTTAATCTCACTCCAAAACTTTTTCTTATTTTCAACAAAATTTGTTGATAACATCTCACCCACACTCTCATTTGCTCTCTTTTTACATTGCTTCACCACTCTCTTAACCTCTCTCTTTTTCTCCATATACTCTTCCCTCCTTGCATCACTTCTACTTTGTAAAATCATCTCATGTGCTAACTTTTTCTCCCTTACTACTCTCTTTACATTATCATTCCACCAATCGCTCCTCTTCGCTCCCACACCCACTTCCCTGTAACCACAAACTTCTGCTGAACACTCTAACACTACATTTTTAAACCTACCCCATACCTCTTTGACCCCATTGCCTATGCTCTCATTACCCCATCTATCCTTCAATAGCTGTTTATATCTTACCCTAACTGCCTCCTCTTTTAGTTTATAAACCTTCACCTCTCTCTTCCCTGATGCTTCTATTCTCCTTGTATCCTATCTACCTTTTACTCTAGGTGTAGCTACAACTAAGAAGTGATCTGATATATCTGTGGCCCCTCTATAAACATGTACATCCTGAAGTCTACTCAACAGTCTTTTATCTACTAATACATAATCCAACAAACTACTGTCATTTCGCCCTACATCATGTCTTGTATACTTATTTATCCTCTTTTTCTTAAAATATGTATTACCTGTAACTAAACCCCTTTCTATACAAAGTTCAATCAAAGGGCTCCCATTATCATTTACACCTGGTGCCCCAAACTTACCTACCACACCCTCTCTAAAAGTTTCTCCTACTTTAGCATTCAGGTCCCCTACCACAATTACTCTCTCACTTGGTTCAAAGGTTCCTATACATTCACTTAACATCTCCCAAAATCTCTCTCTCTCCTCTACATTCCTCTCTTCTCCAGGTGCACACACGCTTATTATGACCCACTTTTCGCATCCAACCTTTACTTTAATCCACATAATCCTTGAATTTACACATTCATATTACACTTATTATTATTACATTCTTGGTGGAGTGCTAAACTCGTAAAGGTTGTACAGCACCGAGGGAGTGGAAGGCATTCAGGCTTAATTCAAGAAATTGGAACACAGGTCCAATTACATACATGACACATAGGAATCAATTAAATTTTTACAACTGCCAAGCCAATGTACAAACGTGTGAAAAATAATCTTTTGTACCAATGTTTTTCTATGGGAATAACTCATTTTAAGTTGAAAAACCAGGAAAGCAACTCATTTTAAATTGGGATTTACTGTATAAGTGTTTTCTTATACAACTGAATTCCATTAACCTGAATGTTTTAAGATCAAGGATGGTGTGCCATAACTGAATTTATCAGTTATGATTAATGGCAAGTGTTTGCAGTTGGCTAACAATCTCCCAGACCATAAATCAATATCAGTCAACAAGCTTATACACAGTTTAAATACTGTACAGTACAATAATGTAAAAAAAAATACAGATTGGATATTTACCAATCCCTATCCAAATATGATACTCCAAGATTTGTCTTACAGAAAGAGTTATTTTGGCTTAAAAGAGGACCCAATTTGAAGTACTCAACACAGGATATCGAATTTTCAACTTAACTTGGTTCAGGTTAATGGGATTTGATTATACAGCCTCTCCTCACTTAACGACGTACTCGTTTACTGACAATTCGGACTTACGACAGGCTCCCTGACCAGTATGAATACCTAAATAATGTATATTAGAGCTGATTTCCTCTATTCTGTTTATTACAATATACAGTACACTACTGTATAAACATTTAAAAGTATACTAAAAATGTTATAAATGGTGCAAAGGTGACATTAAAACAATATCAAAGATGGTTGACACAAACCCACCACCATTATAGTATGCTCTTTGCTTAGCGATAAATTCATTTACCGACGTGATCTTACGAACAGATCTCCATCGTTAAATGAGGAGAGGCTGTTTTTAAGTTTTCTGAAAGTACTGAGCTATATGATCCCTTCAGGTTTAGTGCTTCCTTTTCGACAGTAATGATAGCCTTTATGCATTATTGCATTTATTAGTGTTATATATATTCCAAATGGTTAACCCTTTGAAAAATTTTTACCAAAACCCAAAAAATTGTGAAGAGATGATGGTTAAATTAAATAGTCATCCCCCGCCTTTTTCCCTTAAATTTGGGTTTTCTAAAAATGTGACGTAATTTGGTTTTTGACCCCAAACCCAAGAAAAAAAAGCCTTTTAAAAATCCCTTTTTAAAATAAAGAAAATACCCCAAAAACCCAACTAAATCCCCCCTTAAAACTAGCGGGAAACAACCTTAAAGAACACTAAAAATACATTTTAATCTTTTTTTTAAAACCCTTTTTAGGTCGAAGGCCCTCTCAGAGATTTGGGTTCTCAGGGTTGCCCAAACTTAAAAAAAAAAAAAATTATTTTTTCTTATGAAAAGATAAGGAATTTCCCCAATCACCCCCCCCCCCAAAATAAAATTTTTGGGAAAACTTACGGAATTTTTGCTTTTTGTGAATTTTGGGCGGTCTCAACGTGTTTACGCATCGGCGATTTTGAAATTTGAGCCCTGTAATAGTCGAAAAAAAATCATGAATTTTTCGCCAGAACCCCCAATTTTTTCTTTTGAATGAGGGGCAAAAAAAACCCAATTACTGTTTTAAAAACATCCAATACAGTGGTTAGAATTTAGAAATTTTTGCCAATTTCACACAAATTTAAAAAAAACATCCCAAATTTCCCAAAATAGGGTCCAGAATAAAAAAAAAGAATTCCTGGCACTAAAATGACACCTTCCCCTCTGTTCTTTAAAGTCACTTTCCCAAATCCCCCCCTCTTACTTCTTTTGCTTTCCACTTTGAATTTTTATTCTCACAAAAAAGTAGAGATTTACTGTTTTTGAGAAATACTGCATTTGTGTAAAAAAAAATATAAATAATATGGAAAACTTGTGGGAAAAAATTTTTAGCTCAAACCCGTTGACGTGTTTGGGGTGTTAGCATATTTGTTTACTTTGGGAAATTTTGGGGAAAAAACAAAAATTTCTGACTTGAGCTCAATTTTAAGGTACTTTTTTATTGGTAAAATCAATCAAAATCATCAACTTTTTGTAAAAATATCTTCCTTTTATAGAATGAGGGCCAGGAAAAACTAGAAACAACAATAAATACCATACGAAAATGGCCCGTGCAAAATCGCTGTTTTAAACCCAAAAACGGTCAAAGTTTTTTTCCCCCTTTTCAGTTTGGGGAGGATTTTTTTTATACTGCGCACACTGCACATAGGGGCCCATTCTTATATGTAGGGCCCCCCACCCTTTTTCTCCCCTAGATTTTTAGGGCATTAGAATTTAGGCAATTTGTAGTCCCAAAAACCCTGGTGCGTAAGCCGTACTAGTACGGCCGAAACCCTGAAAGGGTTAAAGAATAATGAGCACAATTAAAAAAAATTATGATGCAGGTGACATTGCAGAGTGGAGTAAAGTCAGATGTAATGAGATTCACTGAACTGAAATTTACTATAGAAAAGTGGCATAATTGAGAATCTGATGCAGGTCGAAATGGCATAAAGCGGGTTATGACTGTGTATGGTAATGTATTATAAAACTAGCATTTGAGTTTGGAGGAGAGATAAACAGATGATATATCAGTGTTCAGACAACTTACTTATATCGCGACTCTTGAAATAGTAATAACACAATTGCAAACAAATTATGGATTCACTTGCCATGGATTCAAGCCCCTCCTGTTCTGTGATATGATTCAACTTACTTATATCACAAGTTCTAAGGCAGATTCATTGGCTAGGGTTAAATTATGCTGCACACACAAGAGCTTTGCTGCTGCTCTCCTTGCTCCAGCTGCTTGAGCTGGAGTCTGAGCACCTACAAAGTTGCCCACAAATTCTCTGGCAGTATCAGGTTGAGAAGGAGGCTTGGGTGCAGTGATAGCTAAGAGTTCTGCGTAAGTGAATGCATCTGGTGGGGACAGAAGTGGCACTAAGTTTGGAAGAAGTGCTGGCGGAGTGAGAGTAAGAAGAGTGTGGCTGTATGGAGCAGCAATCAACTCGTGCAAAATGTTTACCACCAGTTGGGATACAGGACTCACCACTCCAGCACGGCTAACCTGAGAAAGGGAAAAAGAATATCCTGTACAGTATATAATCAATGGTTTTCATGTAAAATAAGTGAGCATTGATGAGCCAAATGGAGACAAAGGAAGCTAAAACTGAAAGGATAGTCCAAGATAGCTCTTACTGGGACCTAGAAAGGTGAGTGGAAGCATAAATGTACAACAGTTGTGTTCCTACGTAGTTACCAGGATATCTAGGTAAGTAAAAATAGGAAGGGCATCTGTCTAGCACTCAGCAGACAAAGGATCAAGAGCCTTGTTTGCACACAACAACAGATTAAGGGAAACTACCAGGAAATAAACAGAAGATTTATTTCAGACAAGTACAGGTTATGTGTATTAACCCTTTCACTATCAACACCCCACAAACTGAAAACCCCTCCTTCTGTGTCAGCATTATTAAAAAATAAAATAATTTTATTCTCCATGGGGAAGTGGAACAGAATTCTTCCTCTGTAAGCCATGCGTGTCGTAAGAGGCGACTAAAATGCCAGGAGCAAGGGGCTAGTAACCCCTTCTCCTGTATATATTACTAAATTTAAAAGGAGAAACTTTAGTTTTTTCTTTTGGGCCACCCCACCTCAGTGGGATACGGCTGGTGCGTTGAAAGAAGAAGAAGAAATAATTTTATTTTCTAAAATGGTACAAAATCTTTTTCTGTAGGTAATTACCCTAAAAATTCAATATCTGATGTAAACTTACGGAATTATGCAAGCGCAAAGTTGGAGGTTGGGACGCATTTTATGCAAGTGATTTTGCCCACTCTAAAGCCTATTTTATATGGCAATTCCAGTGCTTAAACTGCCCCAATTCCCGCCTACTTTGGTAGCATGCATAAAACTGCCCATTGAACTATTGGAACTGCCATGTTAACACCTGAAAGTCAGTAATTTGACCAATTTTAAACATTTCATTAAATTCCAATTTAAAAACTAAATCCAAAACAAACACTGTGGACATTCCAGCCATTAATGCAACCTTCCCTCTGTTTATAAATCATGTCCTAAGGCTTCTCCAATGCAACACTTGCTCTCTATTCTGAATCTATCACACAAAAAAATTGAAGTTTCTCCCTATTTCTCATTCAATAATCCACAATACTTTTGGCTACCCCAATAATTGAAGTAAGCATAGTAAAACAAAATCCATAAAACAGATCAGGAGGGAAGGTCCTACCCATCCCTAGGAAAATCATTCAAAATCAATTATTTCTCCACTTCGAGGCCTGAAACCAAACAAAAATAACTTTAGTTTGCTAATACAGTGGACCCCCGGTTAACGATATTTTTTCACTCCAGAAGTATGTTCAGGTGCCAGTACTGACTGAATTTGTTCCCATAAGAAATATTGTGAAGTAGATTAGTCCATTTCAGACCCCCAAACATACACGTACAAACGCACTTACATAATTGGTCGCATTCGGAGGTAATCGTCATGCGGGGGTCCACTGTATATCTTCCAGTCCATCTATCAACACCAAGAGTCAATAAAACCATGAAAGTATCCCCTAGAAAATGCTACAGCTACTATTTTAATCCAACACAAGGTCAGAGGCTTGTTGTTCCCAATATGCACTGCATGGGGCAGGAATTTTTTTGATACTACATGTAACTACCACACAGATCCATTTTCTTATGCCTAGCCCAAAATTTGCCACTCACAGCAAATCTGAGGATGTTGCAAACTATACATACATCTACAGCACCAACATGTCCCACTGACATAGATCTACATGACCAGCAGAGAAAGGGTTAAAAAAAATGCATCATGAATTACCTGTGTCATGAGCATGAGTAGTGATTGGACAGCAACCAAGAGAGAGGTTCCATCTTTGGTCAATCCAGGTGTGCCTCTAGCAATAGCCAAGTCCACCGAGTGCAGTTGAAGGTTAGTCTCCAAGTCTTGTAATTCTCGGTCATGGTAAGTTCTTTTTCTGCTTATGTTACTTACACCTCCCACTACCAAGTTCACTGATGCTCCTGGCTGAAAGTTTAAAAATAATTAAATGTACAAAACCAAGTCCCTATCTTCACTGTATGAAACCATATGAATTAAACAATATTGAAAAGAAAAAATTATTGAAAATAAATTACTGAAAAGTTTAATTTAGTAATCCTTAGAAATTTGTAATACTAAAGGAGGAGTAGCAATAATGTTGAAGGATAAGCTATGGCAGGAAAAGAGGGACTATAAATGTATTAATTAAAAGATTTTGTGGAGTAAAATAAAGGTTGGATGTGAAAAGTGGATTATAGTAAGCATATATGCACCTGGAGAAGAGAGAAATGTAGAGGAGAGAGACAGATTTTAGGAAATGTTGAGTGAATGCATGGGGAGTTTTGAACGAAGTGTGAGAGTCCTTGTGGTTGGGGATTTCAATGCTAAAGTGGGTAAAAATGTTGTGGATGGAGTAGTAGGTAAATTTGGGGTGCCAGGGGTAAATGAAAATGGGGAGCCTTTAATTGAGCTATGTGTAGAAAGAGGTTTGGTAATAAGTAATACATATTTTATGAAAAAGAGGATAAATAAATATACAAGGTATGATGTAGCACGTAATGAAAGTAGTTTGTTAGATTATATATTGGTGGATAAAAGACTGATGGGTAGGCTCCAGGATGTACACGTTTATAGAGGGGCAACTGATATATCAGATCATTATTTAGTTGTAATAAGTGGTAGATGGGTCAAGAGGAAAATGGCAACAACAAGTAAGAGGGAGGTGAAAGTGTATAAACTAAAGGAGGAGGAAGTTTGGGTGAGATATAAGCAACTATTGGCAGAAAGGTAGGCGGGTGCAAGTATGAGTAGTGGGGGGGGGGGAGGTGAAGAGGGTTGGAATAGTTTTAAAAATGCAATATTAGAATGTGGGACAGAAGTTTGTGGTTATAGGAGGGTGGGTACAGGAGGAAAGAGGAGTGATTGGTGGAATAATGAAGTAAATGGTGTGTTAAAAGAGAAAAAGGTAGCTTATGAGAGGTTTTTACAAAGCAGAAGTGTTATAAGAAGAGTACAGTATAAGGAGAGTAAAAGAAAAGTGAAGAAAGTGGTGAGAGATTGCAAAGGAGAGCAGATGATACAGTGGGAGAAGCACTGTCAAGAAATTTTAATGAAAATAAGAAAAATATTTGGAGTTAAACAAGTTAAGAAATCCTAGGGAACGAATGGATTTGTCAGTTAAAAATAGAGTAGGGGAGTTAGTAGATGGGGAGATGGAGGTATTGGGTAGATGGCAAGAATATTTTGAGGAACTTTTAACCCATAAACGGTCCAAACGTATATATACGTTTTTACCGCTAGTGCCCCAATCGTATATATATACGTTTTATTTTCCTGCCTTCAAATTTGGCATGATTGGCCTGAAATGCCTTGGCAGCATAGAATGGGTTCTAACACTCAGTGTGCATGGTATTAAAAAAATCTGGGACCACTTAGTACCTTGTGGGAGCACCATTTCAAATGAGCACCAGCTAGAGCAAACAGAGCAGCAAACACCTTGGATTCACTGATGTCATGTAGTATTAACACTCCCATTTTAAGAGGAAAGTGATTTTGACCCTGAGTTTAGTGGCTTTGAGGTATATGTGGCCAAAAGTGGTCGAGGAAATATAAAAAAAAAAACTCGATAATAACCCATGTGCAATATTTGCGCAACACCCTTTCAGAAAGTCTTATAACCTATGCCCTAAGTAAAGAGAAACAATTCTGGCTGGCTGGCTGGCTGGCTGGCTGGCTGGCTGGCTGGCTGGCTGGCTGGCTGGCTGGCTGGCTGGCTGGCTGGCTGGCTGGCTGGCTGGCTGGCTGGCTGGCTGGCTGGCTGGCTGGCTGGCTGGCTGGCTGGCTGGCTGGCTGCTGCTGGCTGGCTGGCGCTGGCTGGCTGGCTGGCTGGCTGGCTGGCTGGCTGTGCTGGCTGGCTGGCTGGCTGGCTGGCTGGCTGGCTGGCTGGCTGGCTGGCTGGCTGGCTGGCTGGCTGGCTGGCTGGCTGGCTGGCTGGCTGGCTGGCTGGCTGGCTGGCCTGGCTGGCTGGCTGGGCTGGCTGGCTGGCTGGCTGGCTGGCTGGCTGTGGCTGGCTGGCTGGGCTGGCTGGCTGGCTGGCTGGGCTGGCTGGCTGGCTGGCTGCTGGCTGGCTGGCTGGCTGGCTGGCTGGCTGGCTGGCTGGCTGGCTGGCTGGCTGGCTGGCTGGCTGGCCTGGCTGGCTGGCTGGCTGGCTGGGCTGGCTGGCTGTGCTGGCTGGCTGGCTGGCTGGCTGGCTGGCTGGCTGGCTGCCTGCTGGCTCGGCTGGCTGGCTGGCTGGCTGGCTGGCTGGCTGGCTGGCTGGCTGGCTGGCTGGCTGGCTGGCTGGCTGGCTGGCTGGCTGCTGGCTGGCTGGCTGCTGGCTGGCTGCTGGCTGGCCTGGCTGGCTGCTGCCTGGCTGGCTGCGCCTTGCTGGCTGGCTGCTGGCCTGGCTGGCTGCTGCCTGGCTGGCTGGCTGGCTGGCTGGCTGGCTGCTGCCTGGCTGGCTGCTGGCTGGCTGCCTGCGCTGGCTGTGCTGCTGCGCTGGCCTGCTGCTGGCGGTGCCTGCCTGCCTGGCTGGCTGCCTGCCTGCCTGGCTGGCTGCCTGCCTGGCTGCTGCTGGCTGGCTGCTGCCTGCTGCTGGCTGGCTGGCCTGCGCCTGCTGCTGGCTGGCTGGCTGGCTGCCTGGCTGCTGGCTGGCTGGCTGGCTGCCTGGCTGGCTGGCTGGCTGGCTGGCTGGCTGGCTGCCTGGCTGGCTGCCTGGCTGGCTGGCTGCCTGGCTGGCTGGCTGCCTGGCTGGCTGCCTGCCTGGCTGCCTGCCTGGCTGGCTGCCTGCCTGGCTGCCTGGCTGGCTGCCTGCCTGGCTGCCTGCCTGGCTGCCTGCCTGCCTGGCTGGCTGCCTGCCTGCCTGGCTGGCTGCCTGCCTGCCTGGCTGGCTGGCTGGCTGGCTGGCTGGCTGGCTGGCTGGCTGGCTGGCTGGCTGGCTGGCTGGCTGGCTGCCTGGCTGGCTAGCTGGCTGGCTAGCTGGCTGGCCAGCTGTATGGCAGCCAGCTGTGTGGCTGGCCAGCTGCTGGCAGCCTGGCTCTATCTCCATTTGTCTGTTTGTATCTATGTCTATCTCTGTCTGTCTCTCTGTCTGCCTCTGTCTATCTTTGTCTGTATCTGTCTCTGTCTATCCCTGTCTATCTCTGTCACTGTCTATCTCTTTCTATCTGTTTGTCTATCTCTGTCTCACAGGTACACATAAATACAAGTATACATAGTGTAAATTACCTAGGATAACCCAAAAAATCCAGACAAAGTGCTATACTCTGCTTGAAGATATGAGTAAACGTGATGACCCAGTCTTGTGGCTCTCTCTGAGAAAGAGAGCTAGACAGATAGACAGATAGACAGGGAGCTTGACAAACAAGTAGACAGACATGTTTGTGTACCAGCGAAAACAAAGCAGGCCCTAATCTTTTCTTATCAAGGCTTATCACTGCACCCTTGCCAATGCTCATCAAATGTCAGCTCTTCTCAAATGTTATCTCATCTTATCACGTCACTATCAGGGGCGGACTTTGTTTTTCATGCTTCAAGGGAACTTGTTATTTTAATATTATTACATATTCTTCTTCTCCTCCTCCTCCTCCTCCTCCTCCTCCTCCTTCTCATTCTCCTTCCCATTCTCCTTCTCCTCCTCCTCCTCCTCCTCATTATTATTATATACTTCCACATATCCAAAACATTCCTGGGACCTATAAATACTTTGTATATATTCCAAGACAATAGTAAATGACCAAGGCAGGTGCAAATGTCCACCTGTCAATGTGTTTGTGACAATGTGAGTACAATTTCAGTACCTAATACTAGTGTCAGAACAAAGATTAGTTATGAAATGACAAGAACTACTATAAATTGTAATTATCAGAACATAAAAATTATATAAAATAATATGAAAAATGGAAAAAAAAGATATATCAGCAACACTTCTGCAAGCAGCAGCACTCCATGTACTGACCCTAAAATTTTTATTTTTGTCCTATAACAATTAGAAAAATGTGCTCTCTCTTTCAATAAAACAAAAACAATTTTTTTATTTTTCAAAATATTCAGGGCACTGGGGTAGTGAACATATATATACGTTTGAACCGTTTACGGGTTAAATGTCGATGAAGAAAGGGAGGCGGTAATTTCATGCACTGGCCAGGGAGGTATACCATCTATTAGGAGTGAAGAAGAGCAGGATATGAGTGTGGGAGAGGTACGTGAGGCATTACATAGAATGAAAGGGGGTAAAGCAGCTGGAACTGACGGGATCATGACAGAAATGTTAAAAGCAGGGGGGGATATAGTGTTGGAGTGGTTCGTATTTTTGTTTAATAAATGTATGATTGTTATTTTCATATAGTCAGACTTCAGTCCTGGAAATGGGAAGTACAATGCCTGCACTTTAAAGGAGGGGTTTGGGATATTGGCAGTTTGGAGGGATATGTTGTGTATCTTTATATGTATATGCTTCTAAACTGTTGCATTCTGAGCACCTCTGCAAAAACAGTGATTATGTGTGAGTGTGGTGAAAGTGTTGAATGATGATGAAAGCATTTTCTTTTTGGGGATTTTCTTTCTTTTTTGGGTCACACTGCCTCGGTGGGAGACGGCCAACTTGTTGAAAAAAAAAAAAAATGAATGAAAGAGGGGAAGGTACCTAGGGATTGGCAGAGAGCATGTATAGTCCCTTTATATAAAGGGAAGGGGGACAAAAGAGATTGTAAAAATTATAGAGAAATAAGTATACCAGGAAAAGTCTACGGTAGGGTTATTACTGAAAGAATTAGAGGTAAGACAGAATGCAGGATTGCGGATGAGCAAGGCAGTTTTAGAGTGGGTAGGGGATGTGTAGATCAAGTGTTTATGTTGAAGCATATATGTAAACAGTATTTAGATAAAGGTAGGGAAGTTTTTATTGCATTTATGGATTTAGAAAAGGCATATCATAAGAGTGGATAGGGGAGCAATGTGGCAGATGTTGCAAGTATATGGAATAGGTGGTAAGTTACTAAATGCTGTAAAGAGTTTTTATGAGGATAGTGAGGGTCAGGTTAGGGTGTGTAGAAGAGAGGGAGACTACTTCCTGGTAAAAGTAGGTCTTAGACAAGGATGTGTAATGTCACCATGGTTGTTTAATATATTTATAGAGGGGGTTGTAAAAGAAGTAAATGCTAGGGTGTTCGGGAGAGGGGTGGGATTAAATTATGGGGAATCAAATACAAAATGGGAATTGACATAGAAAAGAGTAAGGTGATGAGGGTATCAAATGATTTAGATAAAGAAAAACTGGATATCAAATTGGGGAGGAGTATGGAAGTGAATGTTTTCAGATATTTGGGAGTTGACGTGTCAGCAGATGAATTTATGAAGGATGAGGTTAATCGTTGAATTAATGAAGGAAAAAAGGCTAGTGGTGCGTTGAGGTATATGTGGAGACAAAAAAAGTCATCTATGGAGGCAAAGAAGGGAATGTATGAAAGCATAGTAGTACCAACACTCTTATATGGGCATGAAGCTTGGGTTGTAAATGCTGCAGTGAGTAAGTGGTTGGAGGCAGTGGAGATGTCCTGTCTAAGGGCAACGTGTGGTGTAAATATTATGCAGAAAATTCGGAGTGTGGAAATTAGGAGAAGGTGTGGAGTTAATAAAAGTATTAGTCAGCGGGCTGAAGAGGGGTTCTTGAGGTGGTTTGGTCATTTAGAGAGAATGGATCAAAGTAGAATGACATGGAGAATGTATAAATCTGTAGGGGAAGGCAGGCGTGGTAGGGTCGTCCTCGAAAAGGTTGGAGGGAGGGGGTAAAGGTTTTGTGGGCGAGGGGCTTGGACTTCCAGCAAGCGTGCGTGAGCGTGTTAGATAGGAGCGAATGGAGACGAATAGTATTTGGGACATGGCGAGCTGTTGGAGTATGAGCAGGGTAATATTTAGTGAAGGGATTCAGGGGAACCGGATATTTTCATACACCCGGACTTGAGTCCTGGAAATGGGAAGTACAATGCCTGCACTTTAAAGGAGGGGTTTGGGATATTGGCAGTTTGGAGAGATATGTTGTGTATCTTTATACGTATATGCTTCTAAGCTGTTGTATTCTGAGCACCTCTGTAAAAACAGTGATTATGTGTGAGTGAGGTGAAAATGTTGAATGATGATGAAAGTATTTTCTTTTTGGGGATTTTCTTTCTTTTTGGGTCACCCTGCCTCGGTGGGAGATGGCCGACTTGTTAAAAAAAAAAAAAAAAAAAAATTGCAAATTTTACAAATTAGCAGCCTTTTTTTGTGAAGATCTGTGAATAGTTTCTAAAATTTAGAAGATACAATTATTTCATTATGGTAATTTTTCTAATGTGTATATTTGATAGAAGATTGATTTTCATTAGGGCCACAGAATCTGAAATGTCTTAATTTTTCTATAGCAAAAATTTTTATTTTTTACTCATATCTGACACTATTGTTAACAAATATAACTGAACCCCAAATTTGCATGTACTGATTATCCAACAATGGCTATGATTATTCACATGGAAGGAAAATTTGGAGGAGAATCATATTTTTGGCATTTCTTCTACCACAGAAATTATTATAGGTCTATTTCAATGAATATTTGGCAGTTGTACTGTAAAATTAAAAAGCAAATTGATCTCAAAGTTGCAATTATGTTAATACTAACCTCGGATTTGACAGGGGCTTGCTGGACTGCTAACCAAGCAGATATGATCATCATAACAGTCAGGCGAGCCAAAGCCTCTGTTCGTTGCTTGCTTATTAACTCTCCTAAAAAAGGAAATTTTTGAAAACATTTAAACATCTAGTTTTAACAGTTCAAATTTAAATAACTGTATTCAGCATGTTGCATTATGGATCATGTGTGTCCATTAACTCAAAAACTGTCTGCTGTCTTTTAAGAAATTCTTGATTATTAGTACTATAGCGTTTTCACAATAAGCACTAAATATGTACGAGTCATCCAGCAATGAAAAAAATTCTCTGGTAAGCACATGCATGTACAGTAGGGCCCCGCTTTTCGGCGTTTCGCCTTATGGCATTCCGCTAATACAGCGATCTCAAATTATGACCAAAACTTTCTATACGGCAAGTGGTCTTTCAAATACTGTGCGCGCCATCTGGTTTGTTTACATTCTCCATGAGCACATCTCTCTATTATGTAATAATAATCGCTCTTGGGCACATTAAATGTCTAATTTTACATCAATATAGACATTTTCATTAATCCATTATATTTTCTTCAAAATTATATAAGAAACATGTTACATAACATATGAACATTTTATGTTTAAATACTAAGGTGTGGTAGCCAAGCGGAGGGAAAACATAACGTCACTCCCCTTAATACATAATGCTTTTGTTTACAATTCTCGGAATGAATTATTCATTAGTTTTTACAAAGTTTTTACAAAGTAGAAGTGATGCAAGAAGGGAAGAGTATATGGAGAAAAAGAGAGAGGTTAAGAGAGTGGTGAAGCAATGTAAAAAGAGAGCAAATGAGAGAGTGGGTGAGATGTTATCAACAAATTTTGTTGAAAATAAGAAAAAGTTTTGGAGTGAGATTAACAAGTTAAGAAAGCCTAGAGAACAAATGGATTTGTCAGTTAAAAATAGGAGAGGAGAGTTATTAAATGGAGAGTTAGAGGTATTGGGAAGATGGAGGGAATATTTTGAGGAATTGTTAAATGTTGATGAAGATAGGGAAGCTGTGATTTCGTGTATAGGGCAAGGAGGAACAACATCTTGTAGGAGTGAGGAAGAGCCAGTTGTGAGTGTGGGGGAAGTTCGTGAGGCAGTAGGTAAAATGAAAGGGGGTAAGGCAGCCGGGATTGATGGGATAAAGATAGAAATGTTAAAAGCAGGTGGGGATATAGTTTTGGAGTGGTTGGTGCAATTATTTAATAAATGTATGGAAGAGGGTAAGGTACCTAGGGATTGGCAGAGAGCATGCATAGTTCCTTTGTATAAAGGCAAAGGGGACAAAAGAGAGTGCAAAAATTATAGGGGGATAAGTCTGTTGAGTATACCTGGCAAAGTGTATGGTAGAGTTATTATTGAAAGAATTAAGAGTAAGGCGGAGAATAGGATAGCAGATGAACAAGGAGGCGTTAGGAAAGGTAGGGGGTGTGTGGACCAGGTGTTTACAGTGAAACATATAAGTGAACAGTATTTAGATAAGGCTAAAGAGGTCTTTGTGGCATTTATGGATTTGGAAAAGGCATATGACAGGGTGGATAGGGGGGCAATGTGGCAGATGTTGCAGGTGTATGGTGTAGGAGGTAGGTTACTGAAAGCAGTGAAGAGATTTAAACGAGGATAGTGAGGCTCAAGTTAGAGTATGTAGGAAAGAGGGAAATTATTTCCCAGTAAAAGTAGGCCTTGGACAAGGATGTGTGATGTCACCGTGGTTGTTTAATATATTTATAGATGGGGTTGTAAGAGAAGTAAATGCGAGGGTCTTGGCAAGAGGCGTGGAGTTAAAAGATAAAGAATCACACATAAGTGGGAGTTGTCACAGTTGCTCTTTGCTGATGACACTGTGCTCTTGGGAGATTCTGAAGAGAAGTTGCAGAGATTGGTGGATGAATTTGGTAGGGTGTGCAAAAGAAGAAAATTTAAAGTGAATACAGGAAAGAGTAAGGTTATGAGGATAAACAAAAAGATTAGGTGATGAAAGATTGGATATCAGATTGGAGGGAGAGAGTATGGAGGAGGTGAATGTATTCAGATATTTGGGAGTGGACGTGTCAGCAGATGGGTCTATGAAAGATGAGGTGAATCATAGAATTGATGAGGGGAAAAGGGTGAGTGGTGCACTTAGGAGTCTGTGGAGACAAAGAACTTTGTCCTTGGAGGCAAAGAGGGGAATGTATGAGAGTATAGTTTTACCAACGCTCTTATATGGGTGTGAAGCATGGGTGATGAATGTTGCAGCGAGGAGAAGGCTGGAGGCAGTGGAGATGTCATGTCTGAGAGCAATGTGTGGTGTGAATATAATGCAGAGAATTCGTAGTTTGGAAGTTAGGAGGAGGTGCGGGATTACCAAAACTGTTGTCCAGAGGGCTGAGGAAGGGTTGCTGAGGGGGTTCGGACATGTGGAGAGAATGGAGCGAAACAGAATAACTTCAAGAGTGTATCAGTCTGTAGTGGAAGGAAGGCGGGGTAGGGGTCGGCCTAGGAAAGGTTGGAGGGAGGGGGTAAAGGAGGTTTTGTGTGCGAGGGGCTTGGACTTCCAGCAGGCATGCATGAGCGTGTTTGATAGGAGTGAATGGAGACAAATGGTTTTTAACACTTGACGTGCTGTTGGAGTGTGAGCAAAGTAACATTTATGAAGGGGTTCAGGGAAACCGGCAGGCCGGACTTGAGTCCTGGAGATGGGAAGTACAGTGCCTGCACTCTGAAGGAGGGGTGTTAATGTTGCAGTTTAAAAACTGTAGTGTAAAGCACCCTTCTGGCAAGACAGTGATGGAGTGAATGATGGTGAGAGTTTTTCTTTTTCAGGCCACCCTGCCTTGGTGGGAATCGGCCAGTGTGATAATAAAATAATATTGTTTATGATGGCATCTAAAGGTAGCTAAACTCGGTGAACATGGTACGTCAATGGTAATAATGTCTCTGCGTCACATTAAATATCGTGTAGCTATGTAGGCAGGTGTAGGTACGAAGCCCAGGCAGACTACATACCTACATTATTATTATAACTGATAATTTTACGTATGTGTACCTGTATCTAAGTAAACTTACACACTGTGCTGGCATGCAGGTACACATTAAAATCACTAAGAGTGAATTATTATTATTATTATTATTATTATTATTATTATTATTAGTGGTTGGTACTTTTGTTTAATAAATGTATGAAAGAAAGGAAGGTACCTAGGGATTGGCAGAGAGCATGTATAGTCTCTTTATATAAAGGGAAAGGGGACAAAAGAGACTGTAAAAATTATAGAGGAATAAGTTTACTGAGTATACCAGGAAAAGTGTAGGGTTATAATTGAAAGAATTAGAGGTAAGACAGAATGTAGGATTGCGGATGAGCAAGGAGGTTTCAGAGTGGGTAGAGGATGTGTAGATCAAGTGTTTCCATTGAAGCATATATTTTTTTTTTTTTTTCAACAAGTTGGTCGTCTCCCACCGAGGCAGGGTGACCCAAAAAAGAAAGAAAATCCCCAAAAAGAAAATACTTTCAGCATCATTCAACACTTTCACCACACTCACACATTATCACTGCTTTTGCAGAGGTGCTCAGAATACAACAGTTTAGAAGCATATACGTATAAAGATACACAACATATCCCTCCAAACTGCCAATATCCCAAACCCCTCCTTTAAAGTGCAGGCATTGTACTTCCCATTTCCAGGACTCAAGTCCGACTATAAGAAAATAACCGGTTTCCCTGAATCCCTTCGCTAAATATTACCCTGCTCACACTCCAACAGATCGTCAGGTCCCAAGTATCATTCGTCTCCATTCACTCCTATCTAACATGCTCATGCACGCTTGCTGGAAGTCCAAGCCCCTCGCCCACAAACCTCCTTTACCCCCTCTTTCCAACCCTTTCGAGGACGACCCCTACCCCTCTTTTCCTTCCCCTATAGATTTATATGCTTTCCATGTCATTCTACTTTGATCCATTCTCTCTAAATGACCAAACCACCTCAACAACCCCTCTTCTGCCCTCTGACTAATGCTTTTATTAACTCCACACCTTCTCCTAATTTCCACACTCCGAATTTTCTGCATAATATTTACACTACACATTGCCCTTAGACAGGACATCTCCACTGCCTCCAACCGTCCTCCTCGCTGCTGCATTTACCACCCAAGCTTCACATCCATATAAGAGTGTTGGTACTACTATACTTTCATACATTCCCTTCTTTGCCTCCATAGATAACGTTTTTTGACTCCACATATACCTCAACGCACCACTCACCTTTTTTCCCTCATCAATTCTATGATTTAACCCATTCTTCATAAATCCATCCGCCGACACGTCAACTCCCAAGTATCTGAAAACATTCACTTCTTCCATACTCCTCCTCCCCAATTTGATATCCAATTTTTCTTTATCTAAATCATTTGATACCCTCATCACCTTACTCTTTTCTATGTTCACTTTCAACTTTCTTCCTTTACACACATTCTCAAACTCATCCACTAACCTTTGCAATTTTTCTTTAGAATCTCCCATAAGCACAGTATCATCAGCAAAAAGTAACTGTGTCAATTCCCATTTTGAATTTGATTCCCCATAATTTAATCCCACCCCTCTCCCGAACACCCTAGCATTTACTTCTTTTACAACCCCATTTATAAATATATTAAACAACCATGGTGACATTACACATCCCTGTCTAAGACCTACTTTTACCGGGAAGTAGTCTCCCTCTTTTCTACACACCCTAACCTGAGCCTCACTATCCTCATAAAAGCTCTTTACAGCATTTAGTAACTTACCACCTATTCCATAAACTTGTAACATCTGCCACATTGCTCCTCTATCCACTCTATCATATGCCTTTTCTAAATCCATAAATGCAATAAAAACTTCCCTACCTTTATCTAAATACTGTTCACATATATGCTTCAATGTAAACACTTGATCTACACATCCCCTACCCACTCTAAAACCTCCTTGCTCATCCGCAATTCTACATTCTGTCTTACCTCTAATTCTTTCAATTATAACTCTACCGTATACTTTTCCTGGTATACTCAGTAAACTTATTCCTCTATAATTTTTACAATCTCTTTTGTCCCA